GAGATTGGGGCAGTACGGATCCAATCAGTGAATTGATCAAGCAATCAACCACCCTTAATTCCAGTACCCTTAATCCCAGTATTGCATACTCTAGATTCATCCATCTCTGCAAAAAAGTCTGTGACTGCATGAGGCTTTGGGTGGACTTATAGACATAAATCCTAACAGGCCAGAAGAGCTTGGAATAAAATATGTCAGGCCCTAAAAGAAAATAATGCTCATTGTTTCTTGGCCTTTTGGCTAAGATTAAGTGAAGAAAATAATTCTCAACCTAGGGTGATACATCCTGAAAAACTATTTGTCAAAATTGGTAGAGAAAGGAAATACTTTCATGATGAAGATCATCCAAAGAAATTCATGATCCAAGTAAACACTGTTGAACTAAGAAAAATTAAAAATGACTTCACAAACCTATATGTCTATGAATAGATTCCTAGATACAGGGCAGGGGACATAGCTCAGTGGCACAGCACCTGCCTAGTAAGTGTGAGGTCATTAGTTCAATTCCCAGTACTCCCTTCTAAAAATCCTAGATACATATAAAATACCAAACTGAACTAATAAGATTTGAAATTAGAGGCACTGAAATTAAAACAGTGATTAAAAAAAAAAACCATACCAATTACAAAGCCCTACCTCCTGAAGGATTCACTGAAAATTTCTACAAAACCTTTAGGGAAAATCTAACACCAATACTCATCAAGCTCTTTAATGAAGTTGAAAGGGAAGGAGTACTCCCAAGTCATTCCTTGAAGCTACCATTACCCTGATTCTAAACCAGATAATGATCCAACTGAAAAAGAAACACCAGGCCATTCTCTTTAATGGGTATACTTTTTTTAATTCCAAAAAAGATACTAAATTATAATTCTCTTAGTTCTGCTTAAGGAATGACCCTGAGTGGTTCCTAGGATCTGTTACTATCCAGTTGACATAATGTCACTGAATTCACTATTACAGCCAAGGTAACAGTAGTGGATGTAACTGGTTTCTATGTCAATATCTGGATTTTCTGGAGGCTAACTAGCAATAAAAAAAATGGTTATATACACACAGGAACATGGAAAAGCAAGACCCTTAAAGACTCTCAGGTCTTTCAGAAAGACCCTCAAGGACTCCCAATACTCCTAAGGCAGACCAAAGAGTCACAAATGGAGAGGAAAGCTAATACCAGACAGCAAAACTCTATAAAATAGTTACGGAAAAGGTGAAGAAACCATGCAAGTTCTAAGAGGAACTGAACCAAAAGTTGACAAAAATATCACTCCAACTACCCAAAGTGGATTTGGAGGAAATGAATAATCAGAAGCATTAACCAAACCAGTTCAAAACAGAAACTATAATTCATGAAATATTTAGAATCCTCAAAAAAAAAATCAAACAAAAGTAAATTTGTAAATTAAATAAATGACCACTGTGAAGACAGTATCTGAAACTGAGGACAAAATGGCAAATTATGAAGATGTATTCAGAGAAGCCACACAAAAGAGAACAAGAAAAGACCAACCAACAGCCACTAGATGACACTAAAAAGACCAACCTAAGGCTAGTTGAACTTAGAGAAAGCTAGATGACAGCGATGATGGCATTATTAATATGCTTACAGAAATCACAACAGAGGGGGTCAGGGAGATGGCTTAGTAGAATAAGTGCTTGCCTGGCAAGCGCAAGGGCCTGACTTCAACCCCTGGTTCCGCCAAAAAATAAAATAAAATAAATCACAGCAGAAAAATTTCCAGATATCAGAAAAAGAGTTTAACATACAAGTGAGTAAAACATACAAGTAAAACAACACACAACCGTGATTAAAAGAGAAAAGAAGCTCATCAAGACATATTTTTATTAAATTACCTATTATCCAACAAAACACAAAATTTTAAAAACACAGAAAAACTAAAGATCATATATAAAGGTAAACTCGGTAGAATTACATCAGACTTCAATACAACCTTAAAAAGCCAGAATAGTTTAGAGTAAAGTACTTCAAGCCTTCAGAGCAAATAACTTCCAGCCCATATTAATATAACCAACAAAGATTTGCTTCAAATTTGATGGAAAATAAGAACATTTCATGAAAAAGACCAGCTAAAGAGATGTAGGTTTATGACTCCAGGAAATAACTCAAAAATATCTCATATAGAAATAACAAAATTAATACAGCTAAAAATCCAGATGAAATGAAAACACCAAGCAAGGTTAATGGATAAACAATAACAACAAAGGAAAAGAAAAACAAAGAAGTCACTAACTGAGAAAGAAAGCAATCATAATAAATAATTAACAGGTACCAGTAATATCTCTCACTGTTAATAGCGTTGACCCTCCAATTAAGACACAGATTGAAGAATGAATAAAAAAGAGCCCAACCGTCTGTTGTATTCAATAAAATTCAAAGGATAGAAAAAATATTTCATGCACCAAGACTCTGAAAACAAACAGGAGTAGCAACTTTAATCAGACATGTTAAACTTCAAGTTAAAACTTAGCAGAGGAGACAATAAAGGGCACTATATACTACTTATGAGAACAACCCAAGAAGGAACAAGGCTTATAAATATTTATGCACCAAATATTAGAGCATCTATCTTCATAAAACAGATACTGATGAACATAGAAGATCAAATACTAACACTATTGTAAGGAGAGATCTTAATACTCCTACTTTTGCAAAGAGATAGATTAAACAAAAAACCAATAAACACCTATCAGGTGAACCACACCCTTGAACAAATGGACCTAACAGATATCTACAGAGTATTCCACTCTACTACAATATAATATGTATTCTTTTCTGCTCTACAGGGTACTTTTTCTGAAATAGACCACATGCTAGTCCACAAAGCCTGCTTAAATAAATATAAAAGAGTCAAAATCACATCAGGCACACTATCAGACACTGCAACAAAAGTAGAGATCAATGACAGAAGAAACTATGGAAAAAATAAAAGTACCTGGAAAATCAATAAAATACTCCTAAACAACCAACAAGTCACAAAAGAAATTCTTACATTTCTGACAGTTAATGGCAACACCTGTAAAACTTACTGGAATCTCTGGGACACTATGCACTCCTAAGAGGAAACTGAAATCAATATTTACATTATAAAAATAGAACAAGCTTAAATAAATAACCTTGTGAAGAACCTTAAGATACTTGAAAAACAGCAACAATCCAGGCCCAAACCAAAATTAAGAAGGAAAATCATAAAGCCTAGAATGCTAAACAATGAAATCAAGACAAAAAATACAAGTATCAATGAATTAAAGAGCTTAGTCTTTGAAAAAATGAACAAAACAAATAAGCCCTTAGCCAAACTTATTAAAAGAAAAAATTCAAATCAATGGAATTAGAAATGAAAAAAGTGAAATCACAACAGGCACTGTCAAAATCCAGAAGATAGTTACTACTATAAAAGAAAGTATTCCAATACATTAGAAATTTCTGAAAAAAAAAAGATAAATTCCTAGATTCATACAAATTACCAAAGCTAACTCAAAAAGACACAAAATACTGAGCCCAATAACAAGCAATGAAATTAAGACAGTAATAAAGAATGTAACAACTACAAAGAGTCCAAGACCAGCTGGAATTTTATTTTATAAAACATTTAAGGATGTTATATCACCATATTATGGCTTTTATCTAGATTTCCCCAAAAACAACCTCATGCACTCACAGGTGGAACTTCTCAGAGGTGGCTGTATCTGAAGGTGTGATCCTGGGATTAAGGATGTGATGCTAGGATTGATTCATGGTGCAAAGCTAGGAGAAAGTGTGCCCTGCCGCGGGTGTGAGATGTACCCTTAGGGTAAGTAGCCTGAATAGAATATAAGGGCAGGAAGAGGGCTACAGTGGTAGTTACTTGTCACTCACTGCCTTGCTTCTTCACTACTTTGCTGTCTGCCATAAACTATTTCTCCTCTGGGATGCCCCTCCGCCATGCCGCCCTGTCACAGAGCCAGTTAACTACAAACTGAAATCTCTATAAACATGAGCCAAAATAAACCTTTTCCCCTTTAACTTTGGGTGTCGGGTATTTTGTTTCAGCAATGAGAAAAGTAAATAAGACATACTGATATTCCTCAAGCTCTTCAAAGAAAGTGAAAGGGACAACATGCTTCCAAATTCATTTATGGAAGTCTACTTCCTTCTGGCCTCAAAACTGGATAAAAACGAAACTGCAAAGCTACATGCCAATCTCCTTAATGAACACAGATGCAAAAATGCTCAACATGATAATTGACAAACAGAATGCAACAAATCATTAAAAAGATTATACCTCATAACCAAGTAGGCTTCATTTCAGGGATGCAAGGATGATTCAACATACACAAAATCAACAAATATAATATACCACATAAACAGAAGCAAGTGAAAAAAAATCACACGATCAGCTCAATAGATGCTCCCCAAAATTTTTTTATAAAATCAACATCTTTCCATGATAAAAATCCTGAAGAAAACAGGTATAGAAGGACCTTACTTCAATGGGATAAAACCTGTTTATGGAAAGCCTACTTCCAATTTCATATTAAATGGAAAAAATCTGAAAGCTTTCCCTCTAAAATCAAGAACAAGACAACGATGTCCAATATCACTACTGCTATTTGACACAGTACTTGAAACATTAGCTAGAGCAATGAAAGGAAAAAAGGAAGGAAGGGAGGGAGGGAGGGAGGAAGAAAAAGGAAGGAAGGAAGGAAGGAAGGAAGGAAGGAAGGAAGGAAGGAAGGAAAAGGAAGGAAGGAAAGAAAAGTATTATGTGTCAGAAAAGAAGAAATCAGGGCTGGGAAGACAGCTCAGTAGAATAAGCACTTGCTTGGCAAGCTCAGGGTCCTGAGTTCAATCCCCTGTACCACAAAAAAAAAGAAAGAAAGAAAAAAGAAAAAAAAAGAAGAAATCAAATTATGATTATTTGCCAGATGATATGATCCTTTACATAGAGTACCCAAAAATTTCCACCAAAAGACTCCTATAACTAAAACCAAATTTAGGGCGGGCGCCATGGCGGCGGCCCTCGGGGCGCGAGGGGCGCAGGAGCCGGAGCCTGGCGGCCGAGTCCTCAGATTCTCAGCTGTTGCAGACAGAAGAGAGGAACTAGATTCTACTTGACCTTAAAAAAGCAGGATGGTCGGAGTTAAATGAGAGAGATGCCATCTACAAAGAATTTGCCTTCAAAAATTTTAATCAGGCTTTTGGCTTTATGTCTCGAGTTGCCCTACAAGCAGAGAAGATAAATCACCACCCGGAATGGTTCAATGTGTACAACAAGGTCCAGATAACTCTTATATCACATGACTGTGGTGGACTGACCAGAAGAGATGTGCAGCTGGTGAGATTCATTGAAAAAGCATCTGTTTTTGTGTGATTTCTTCTAAAATGCATGTAAAATATTATAACCATCTTAGCTGCAATATATTTTGAAGGCAACTTGCATCAACAAGTTCTATTGCAAATTAGTTCACCTTTATACATGTTGTCTAATCAGTGCTTAAATATAAAATGATTT